TTATGTTTTATCTTTAATTTAAATCTAGCTTGATTATGTATTTTTTCCTCGTCGTATGGCATTAGCACATGAAAATGTTTTGCCAACGCCAGATATTAATTTGTTACTCATGAAAACTGCTCGAGAAGCAATGCGTTTTGAAACCAAGAGCTGATGAACTATTACAAAAAAGACAAAGAAAATTTTGTATTTAGACTAGCATTTTATTTTGCTTTATTTTATTATTTTTTTTTCCTTGTGGTTCTATGTTTTGTATACATAATGTGAACAGTCAACGTGATTAATAAGAATTTATGGTATTAATCAAGTCTTTTTAGAACATAAATAAAAATGCACGCAATTCTATTTGATCTTGATGGTACATTAGTTGATTCTGATCCAATACATTTTGAAGCATGGCAAAAGATTCTTGCAGAAATGAAACCTAATGAACCTTTGATCGATCGAGAATTTTTCGATAATCATATTACGGGTAGAATTTGAATATTTGATTTATTAATTACTTATTATGCATACGTATATATATATATGTGTGTGTATGTATGTAATCTTAGGTCGATTAAATGCTGATATAACTCATGAATTATTATCACATTTATCTGAAGATGAACAAGTAAAACTAGCAGAAAAAAAAGAATTATTATTTCGTGACTTAGCACAAGAAAAACTTCAACCAACAAAAGGTCTTGATAAAATACTTGAATATATAAAAGAAAATCGTTCAAAATTAAAAATTGGTAAAGAAAACAAAAAGAAATTGATTGCAATATATATGAATTTCTGCTTGAAGGTTTAGCAACGAATGCACCACGTTTAATCGTTGAATTTGAATTAGGATTATTAAAACTTGGTGAAAAAACATTCTTTGATGCTGTGCTTCTTTCTGAAGAATTTGGTATTGGTAAGTTTTTTGTTTTTATTTTTGAAATATTTCAATCTTTTTATTTTTTATATATTTATTCAATAAAGGTAAACCAAATCCGGATATTTATTTGGAATTAGCACGACGTTTGAATGTTGACAAAAATTCTTGTATTGTTTTTGAAGATTCAACATCAGGTGTTCGAGCTGCTGTTGCTGCTGGCATTAAATGTATTGGTATACTAACATCAGCAAAAAAAGAAACTTTAGAACAATATGGTACATGGAGAACGGCGAAAAATTTTCAAGAAATTAATCTTAATGAAATTTGGAATGCAATTCAATCGAAATGATTTATTTAGAAAAAAAGAAAAAGAAAATTCTTATTAAAAGAAATCCAGCTTTAGTAATGTTTTTCTTTTATTCGATTTTATATGTAATTAATATCGAATAATACATATCATTAAAACATAAACCCATTAGTACAAAATTTCTTGAATGATCGTCTACAGAAGGTGGAATTTTGACTCTGTAAATATCATTTTGAAGACAATCTCCTGTGACTAATGTTTTTTCATCTATTTGTAATTGTATATCACGTACACAAGGTACACGAATAATAATATCCTCTGGTAAAGATTTTTTTGCGAGAATACCATTCATTGGTGTAATTAATTGACATCGAAGTGCATTAAATATATTCGTTGTAATAGGATAATATAATGATTCTATTATTTTTTCAATATAAACATCAAATCTAGCAGCAGTAGTCCATGGATCATCACTCTCACTATCTAAAAGCCATATAAAACGTCGATGATGACCAGTTGTATATGGTGCATGATAACATTCCCATAAACAAGTATCATGATTATAATGAGTTAAACATGAACCAGGATTTTCATTTAATTCAAGATGATCAACAGTCATTCTAAGACGAACATTTTTTGGTGCACGAAAAATTAATTTATTTGGAAAATTTGATATAATATCTACTAAATATGTATGAAATGCTGGCCAAAAACGCATCTCTTATTTTTATTATGGCTGTGTGATTCGATGTAGTAACTCGAGTGACGTTTGTCAATCTTATATATATATTTCTATTTATACACATGTGTATATGCCAGTCACTCGGTGACATCGAAGAAAAGTAAAGAAGCGAAAAGAATAATAACAAATTTTGCAATATTATCCATTTGCATTAGAAGTCTCTTTTTTCCTTTTGTTTTGATGAAATGATGAATGAGAATAAATGTTTTTATAAGATAATTTGACAAATATTTTCTTCATTTTATTCGATCAACACATACATATAAAAAGTTAATTCTTTACAAAAACTAGGAATTTGTTTTTTTTTGCTGCATGATCTATTGTGCTGAGTATATTTGAATATTTACGTGAGGTTTTTGTTCACTTGACTATAAAAATAAATCATAGTAGTAAAGTATAGTAGATATTATTCTATCTAATTTCACCTTATTTCGGTGAAAAACAAACCTAGAGTACCATAGAAAGGCAATAGTACAAGATTGAGTGAAAGTAAATATACAGCATATTTTCCTAACGATTGACCTTGCACTCACTAAATAAGCCATGAGTGTCTATTTTCAATTTTATATGAATATATGTAGATATATATATATATAATTATTGTATCACATTAGCAATTCAAGAATAGATGAAAAAAACTAGATAGATTTATATAACAACAACAAAAAAAGGACAATTCACATTGTGGAATATAAGTGATTGTAAGATTCAGTCGAATTCCCTTAAGGCTTTTCAATAAAGTAAGAAAAGAGAAAATGCCAATTATAGTTTTTCTTTTCTTTCTTTACTCGGCTTTCCTTTGTCAAATTGTTCTTTCTTGTTTCCCTTCGTCTTTTTTTATTATAATCATACATAATTTTTTTTTTTATCATTATGCTTCTTCTTGGATCATCGAACACAATGTCAATCAAATTGAAAGACATTGAATTTCTTTTTTCTTTGTACTCGTACTTATAATAAAAATGTTGAATAGAAATCTGAATTAAATGATTTTTTTTATTGTATAAAATTTGTTGCTTACAATCAAGGACAACAAAAAAAAAGCGCAGTTCTAAAGTTCTTTCGATCGTACTTCCTTGTTGTTGTTTTCGACAGGCTGTTCAGACGTTTGATTGTTACTAAACTAATTGGAATTTTGAGCGATGCACTATGCCTCCTCTTCCGCCTGATAGTCAATCTGGCTGATTTCGAAAATTCTATTAGACACGTCCTTATCGTTTGTTCGCTTTAAGAATAAATTGTCAAGGCCCAGGGAACACAACGAAAAAAAAATGAATAAAGAACGAAGCTAGGTCTTAATAATAGCAGCTTTGAAAAATGCAAAAAGAAAATGAATGATGAAGATTATAAAATGACAAAGAAGAAAACCAATGATGCAATCATTCGTGTCGCCCAGTGATCAGAGAGGCATACTCAAGGGATGAATAGAAGACCAATAGTAGCAACCAAGCAAGAAACTGAAGAATCCCCCGAAAGAACATTTTATATTGATTGAATATAATAAGAAGAAATAGAACAAGATATTATGGTTATAACCTTGATTAAGTCAATCATAATTTACAAGTCTATTTTACCCATGGTGCATTTTATTTCAACATTGAATAGATAGACAAACAAACTGATTAAGAATCATTGTATTCTTTTTCTTTTTCTTTTTATTTCTTCTTTCTTAAAGCAATGTTCTTGATGATATCTTATATTCATATGATAGTGATCTTTTCCTCGAGGGGTGAACACCAACAACGATGATTGACAAGCAAGTCTTTCACGACGTATTCTCCGAGATTTAGCGTATAAAACGATTGAGCGTACGATAGTCAAGGACTTCTAATAATTAGAATAATTGTATACAGCCGAGAAAAGAAAAAAATTTCCATTGTATTCTTGTGATTTTCTGCTTTATTAGGCAATTGATCCATTCAACGTACATGTCTATCTATCTATCTGTCTATTTCTTTGTATTCCTTATGTTTTAATTTATAGTTGTTTATGTATTCATATTCGTGTCATCGTTCCTATTATTCGTTTTTTTTTCTTTTAATTTTGTTTTTTTCCTTTTTGTGAACAGCCAAAGAAAGAGAGGAAGAGAACGAGAAGAAAAAGAGAAAGAAGAGAATAGCAAAAAGAAAAAGAACTGTTCAGTTCCATTTTTCTCTGTTGCTCGTTCGTTTGGCTACTATAATTGGCATGAAAATGCTCCCTCGGTAGTAAATAAATTACACACGTACACACGTAAATAATTATTAGAAGATTACTAACATATAAATTTTCATAGCAAACAAATCCAACACTAATAACAATAACCAATTATACAGTTACATTAGTAAAAACATATAATCATTAAGCATGAACTATCGATGGTTACAATTGTCGTCTTGATCTTTTTCATCAGTACTATACGTAAGTAATATGTGATGTATGTATATCATTTTATAATTAATTTAATCAAAGAAAAAGAACCTATCTATGCAACACATTTATACATATGACGTCAAATGGTGATCATATGTTGAGTACCATATGCAAATAAGGGACAATACTTGACTATGTATAGCTAAAGAGCAGCATGTCATGTATACACAATGAATGTCATCTTATTATGGTTTTATTTTTCTTTTTGGTCTTGTTCGGTTCTAAACATTTACTTGAGTACAGTTCGACTGTAGATAAAAGATGATAAAACAGATAAGCATTGTCGATGTCAAACAACACAATCAGTCAAACTTGTCTTTCTGTCTTCCGTTTTATTTTAACATATTCATCATTAAGAGCACCATCATGTTCTATCTCAACATCGTCGGTCGAATTTCAGCGACATATTGTTCAAGTGATTCGTCAACATCTATATAGAAGAATAACAGTTCGAGAGGCAGTTTCAAGTGGCATGGAACAACTGTATATAGCTAGAGGCATCTTGCGTGTTTAATTTCAAAGGAACTATATAGAATATGTATATAATCATAGTCTTTGATCTGTTAAGAAAAAAAAACAGTAAAGTTGGATCATCATTTTTCTTTTAATTTGTTTTTGTACTCTCTGCAAAGCTCATGTAAAATAACTGCAAAAAGAAAACAATAGACAAGTCAATGTTCAGTTTACATATTTATTAATGACAAATTGATGTTGTTTATTGTTCTCTCATTTATCTTTTAATATAGGTGCTCATCGTGCTTTAGCCGTCGAGCAAGAATTATCCACATCATCTGAACAGGAATATAGTATAACAAGTGTACCAATGCAATCAGTTACATTACCATGTAAAGCTGTTTTACCTCATGTAGAACTTGAACGCGTAAAGAATTAAAAAAAGAATATGTCACTTTTTTTGTATATGATTATTTTCTTAGGTTATGTGGTATCAATTAACAAATTCTGGTCAATCAACACTAACTGTTGGCAAACATTTAATAACAAAAGATTCTCGTTTTAGTGTAGCTTATTATAGTGTTGATCATGGACATTCACCTGCTAAATGGGATTTACATATAACTAATGTACGTTTATCGGATGCAGCTCATTATCAATGTCATGTTGTTGCAAAAGAGAATCATAAATCAATTCGATCGAATGTAAAACTTGTTGTAGAAGGTAAGAAAATATAAATAATCAAATAAATAAAACACATATGCATTCAGTGTTTATATGAATAAAAAAAAACAACAATATGAAAACAGATATATCTGATATATATATGTATATAGAGAGAGAGAAAGATAATAATGATGGAGTAAAAATTGGAGAATAAACAGATATAGAAGAAGTAGACATTCTGAATGATTGAATCGAAGCAGCTAGACATTATACGTCAATAGAAAACAAATGAGTATATCTATATTATAGATATTATTGTTGATATTCAACCAATTGATGTTCTTGTTTCTATTGGTGACAAAACAAAATTTTCATGTAATTTTACTGGAGAACATCGAGTACGACGTGAAAAAGTAACTTGGCTTAAAGGTATAATCTGATAAAAAATAAAAACAAAAAAAAAAAATTTTGTTGTTTTTGATTCATTTTGTTTATATTCTCATAGATAATACACCATTGGCACCTGATGCAACCCGTTTCACAACATCAATTGAACTACCTAATATAACAGTAACCACTCTAGAAATAGCTGTTTCTCATGTAAATGATAGCGGTTCATATCGTTGTTCAGATGGTTATGGTGCACAAAGTAAAGAAGCCAAATTATATTTACGAGATACAAATCAACACTTATTTCTTCGTTCATTATCATCAAAAACTTCTATTTCATCATTATTATCATTTCGAACAGTGTTTTATTTATTGATTTTTCAGCTTTTGCATTTTATTCTATAAATTATGATAGTATCAAAAAAAAAAAAGAAAAAAGAAAAGTAAAAAAAACATTCATTTGACACATATTGCTGTAATTACAACTTCACTGAGGAGTAATAATATATCTATAAAAGAGAATTGATATCTTATCTTATTTCGTTTATTCATTCTATTGACAATACTCACATAGACAACTAACATATAGCAAATAAGACAACATGCTCAATGCATATGCGTCATCTGAATCTGCGCTTCAAATTGAAGTTATTTCACCTGAAATACGTGGTGTTGGTTCAAAACGATATGTTGATTATACAGTTAAAATGAAAACAACATTACCAATATTTCATCAAACAGAATCAATTGTTCATCGACGTTATTCTGATTTTGAATGGTTACATAAAGAATTAGAACAGGCTGATACAAAAATAGTTGTACCATCATTACCTGATAAAGCTTGGCAAAGACAATTACCATTTCGAAACGATAATGGTCTTTTTCAGGATGATTTCATTGAAGAGCGACGACGAGGATTAGAAATATTTATTAATAAAATTGCAGCTCATCCGCTAGCTCAAAATGAACGTGCTTTACATGTTTTTCTACTAGAACCGGAAATTGATTTAAAAAAATATGTACGAGGCAAAATAAAACATTAACAGAAAAAAAAAATCAATGTAATTTCTATTGAATTTGAAAGAAAAACAGAATATATATTTTTTTGTTCTTGTATTCATCATTCTTTCTTAATAAAATTTTATAAAAATTAAATATTTATCTCTGAAAACTATGATTATAATTGATAATTGAAAAGAAAACACATTTATTTAATTGCTAATAACATATTCGCAATACATAATCATATGACACCAATGTCATCAGCTTTTTATTTGACACTGGCGCAGCTAATGACTGTAATAATCATCAATGGAAGTGTCTTAAACACTTCAATAGAACAAGATGAGAACGCATATTGAACATATTTAATGTCCATATAAAACGAATGCTTTCAAGAATATTATTATTGTTCACAAGTCAATTTAATATAATAAAAAGTAATCGATACTAAAAGTGAAAAGTACAGTTATAAAAAATCATTTTTATAATTCTATCTCTAAGGATACAAGAAAACCGACATATTCTTTTATATCACATCATTATTAATGTGTTAACTTATAAGTCATTGATGACTATTATTAAGCATTTACAAGAACAAAAAATTGATTTGGTTTCATTTAAAAGGTAAAAAAGCAAATAGTTTATAGTTATTTGATTATTGATGATTGTCAAGCGTAAATTTATTAAGAATAAAAAGAGGATTAGAAGTATCAGTTATTTCTATTAGAATTCTATATTTATACTTTTCTTTCATTATAATATACAAAGAGTATTTTTTATTATTTCATTTTACTCCTTGTTAGTAAACATAGTAATACACCTAAAGATAACCAATAAACAATTTCTTATATAATTTTCATTATCCATCTGCATCAGCAAAACTGTCAATATTTTCTTTATGCTTTTGCTATCGATCAACTTCTTAGAAACTTTGCTTCATGTATGAAGTAATGAAAGCAAACAAGAAAGAATATGAAGTAGTTTCTGTTTTTTGTTTATTTTAGTCAACGATTCAATCGACAGAGAGAGAGAGTAAAGAGATGTAAAAAAACACTTTCTTGTCTTCATGTATCGACTCATTTATTTTACGTTTTGCATTTTTCAGTCAAGATTATAGTGTCTATGGTTTCACTTAAATATATATGATTGATCTGAATTGACAGAAAAATTAAAGTTTAAAAAAAAAACACATATTCATTTATAACACGTAAGATATATACAAGTAGAACAAGTTTTTTAAATTTAAGAAATCTCTATCGATCTTTTTTTATTTTAGAAAATTATTTTTTTTTTTTTCTTTTTATTAATTAATAATGCCAAAATATTCAACTCTTAGTCGTTTTTCACTGGTTCAATTAGAAAGTGAAGAACGTAAACAACGTGCTCATTTAAAAAGAATATCTGAAATGAAACGTCATAGCGATCTAGATAACAGTGCACCAATTCGTTTTTCTCATCTTCATCAAGGTTTTCTAAGGCAATTAAATGAAAAACGTCAAGAAATTGATAAAGAAAATGAAACAAAATCAAAAAAATTAGTTAATATTATGATAACAAAAACAAAACATCCACCACCACCAAGTCCTCCAAAAAGTCAAGTTCACCGTAATCAAAAAATACATTTATTACAAAATAATACTGAATATCATGAACGAATTATTAATGTTAAAAGTAGTTATGATGCACATGAATGGGAAAAAGCATATAAACAACATAACGAATATTTAAGAATTGGTAAAGATAATAAAGTATTTACACCACTTGAAATTGGTGTTAATCGACGACGAACAACAAAGATGAATTCATTAATGAATAGTAAACGAACAACACCCTCATCATCAACAATCAATGTAATTAAAAGATATGACCACAATAATCGAATTTAAAATGTTTCTATTTCTTTCTTTTTTTTGTATTATATTAAAATGAAAAAAATATTTTTAAAATAAAATGTCTGTTTGATATATGAAGCTTTTATTTCAAAAAGAAAAAGGTTATTTTATTTTCCAATTTTAATTACTTTTTAAATCTAAGTGATTCATATATAAATATGTATTTACAAAATAAGATAATGTTGAATACTGTTCGAAAAAAAAAATAGAAAAAAATAATTAAAATGAAACTTATACATGTGTTGGTGGTGATTTTAATTTTGAAACGATTTTACCAAACTCCATTCCTTGTGTATGTGCAACTTGAAGTTCAAGTTGAGATACTTGTCGTTCACCTTGTGTTCCAGCTAATGTTCCCGCACCTAAATTAATATTTTTGATAGAATAACAAAGATAAAACAAAAAGAAAAGATAACCAACCGTAAGGTGATCCACCATGTATTTCATCAAGATTCAATAAAGATTTATTTCTATAGCCAATTGGAACAAAAACCATTCCGAGATGTGCAAAAAATGGTACACATGAAAGAGCAGTTGTCTCTTGACCACCACCAAGCGATGCTGTTGAAAAGAAAACACCAGCCTATATAGTATAAATGAATGTAGTAATTTAATAAACAAAAACCTAAGAAGATTTACTGGTTTGCCGATCAATGTATCGGATAGCCAATGACTACCACATGCATCAAATAAAGTTTTCATTTGCGTAGGTACTGTTCCGAAACGAGTAGGCATGCCAAATAGAAAACCATCAGCTTCAGGTAATTGATCAGGTCTAATTATTGGTATATCTCTATTTTTAGGTAATGCATGCATTTTTTTAAGTACTTCATCGGACAATGTTTCAGCAACTTGAAAAACACGACAATCACATCCAGCATATTCAACACCAGCTCGAATACCTGAGGCTAATGCTGCTACATGACCATACATCGAATAATAAATTACAAAAACGACAGGACGACGCTATTCAAAAATATAGGCATAATTTATTTGAATTCATGTCTTTCTACTTACATTTCGATTAAAGTTCTCAGGTACTAACGTAACATTACCCACCCGAGGTTCTACATGCCGCGACATATGAACAAATTTTCTATACAGAAGTGAAGAATTTGACAAATATTTATTTCAATTTACCTTTCTGGAAGATCATTGATTGGTTGAGATCGTGAACTTGATGAATACATTTCTTCACAATGTGAATATTGTTTGTATAAATAATAATTTCAAATTAAATTTTAATGCATAAATAATCTATTAGAACAGATAAAAAACATTTAATAGTAGTCATCACGGGCTTAGAACATGTAGACGTTAGTTTCTAAAACTTTTGTCGTCGTGTTTGCGTAATTATTTTGATTTGTTATCTCAAAACTGCCTAATAAGTTTGACAAAACATCTTTTGCTTATTTGCTTTTTGTCAGAAAGACTGTCCAATTATTGACTTCTTTCAGCGCATAAAAATTATCAAGAGTTATCGTACCCACATAAAAAGTACAAACCGTATATAAATAATTCTTTCAACCTTGAAAGATAGATATAAAACCACAAAAATATTTGTGAACCAATCGTTTCTAGGTCTTTTATTATTTTCTGTGACTATTAATCTTTTTTTTTCTTTGTTACAATATAATACAAAATGTAAAAACGAAAAAAAAAAAAGCGAACGAAAAAAGAAAAACAACACATGAAAGCAGACAGCTGTTTATTCAAGCTGTCAATATTTATTCTTTGATGCACTGTTTATGTTTTTTTCCATGTCTCCTATCATTTCAAAATAATTTCTTTTTTTATGATCTTTGAAACATTTTAGTTTTACGGCGATATTTTATCAGCCATAGAGATTACGAATGATATCTATATTAAGCAAAAACAAAAATTTTTGCATTAAAGTTTTTACATTTTAGATCTCACGAGAGAATATTCTCAATTGTCCAATCACTTTCCGTTTCGAATCATTACCAATCGATCGGTTATAATAAGTAACGAAAAAGTCAATTTTTATTTGACTTTTGGATCTACAGCTTGTCGAGTTATAAGCGTTTTACTCGACTTTAACTCTATGAGCATAGAATAATTGAGAATTTGAATGATCGAATTTCGAGCTGAAATTTCGTTCATAGATAGGCTTTATCATCACTACAGATATTCTAAAATCTAGACTAGAACAAATCAATTCATATCAGACATGAACCTATCATAGAATCATCCTTTGTTTGACATACAGCTCAAAACAGTTCTTTCTGTAAAATATCAATACCACAGTAATGTTATATTTCGTTGTGGCTCAACCTTTGGAATATTTCTGACGATCATAAGGTCTAATTACTGGCAAATTTTCAGCTTGAAATTTGATTGTTTAAGTCTTCATTTATTCTCTACTTATCACATAAAAATCGAGTAAAACGCTGATAAATCAATTAGTGAAGACTGAAAAATCAAACCAAATTAGGCGTTTTTACTACTCATCATAACCGATTGAATAGCAATAGTATCAAATGAAAACTGATTGTACAATTACGAATGTTTCTTCGTCAGTATCGAGTATAACTTTAAACTTGATATACTTCTTTTTTCTAATAGAAGTGAACTGAATGCGGATAAATGTAATGACATTCCTGAAAAATATTCACCATCATTGAGTGGAAGAAATAGTTGAACAAGCATGATAGATGATTTCATAAAACATGTTTTGAATGTTCATTTCGAATAATAATTATGAATATTAGTAATAGAATACAACTAATAAGTTGTCGGAATAAATTTTTTGTATTTTCTAACATAAGAAAAAAGTTTAATAATATTGGTACTATTAGCTCTCGACTGAAAAAGCCAATTATTTGAAAAGTGTCATTTTCTCTTTGTTTTGCAAAAAAACAAGAACCAAAAACTTAAATATTACCATTGGTGAAATATTTAATAAGTTTTACAAGGTTTTTTATCAGGAAAAAAGATTAGAACGAACTTTTTATTTTCTTAGTGTATAAATACATGACTATGTTTGTATATAAGGAATAGTGTATTTTTATTTCTCTTCTTCTTCCTACCCTATTTTCGATAATATGTACATCACTGAAGACAAAATAAAAAGTGTTTATTTCTTTGCACTATGAATATTTTTCTCTTCTTGCTATTTAACAAGAAACAAATGATACCAATTAATGATCTAATAGGTTTCAGCTCTCCTTCTTTTCAAGGTGACAGTATATAAACAATACTATTATTTTTTTGCATATAAATGTGTTTGTGATTAAACTTGAATCAGTACTGTCAAATTCTTAAAACATGATAACTCATTATAAATGTGTAAGTTTTACAGATAATTTTTTATTTTATTGTCAAAGAAACTGTGTATTATCTGTTTCGATCTTTAATTTGAATCAAGTAGTTATATAATTGAATATTTCTCTCTATAGTTTTATTATCAGCAAATATGATAATATTCAATTGTATCAGAGTTCGAATAAATCAATCACTAAAAACTAGTCTCAAGATGTCGCTTCTTCATAATGATATTATATGTATTTGAGTTAGTCTTAATAGGGTTTCGTAATATGAACTTTGTTGAAAATTTCTTTACAATACATATGTTAAGCCAATTGATTTAAGTTTTCCTTGAGGATTCATAGATCGATTTCGATTCGTACACATCTTAACCAAACTATTTCAAGCCAGCTTCTACTTGTTCTTTGTCATTCATTCTTTCATTTTTTTTTTTGCTTTTTTCGCTTTTATTTTGATTAATTCAATGTGTTTGTCAAGTCTTAATTTGACATGACAAGATTGCCAACCGAAGGTTTTTTCTTTATGACAAGTTTCTTTCAAAGGAAAAAGTGGTGTCAAATATTTCTTCATATGTGTCACTTGTAAAAGAAAGTTCAAAATTTTGACAACAAAAAAAAAAATTGATTTCATATTATCAAATAAGATTTATCTTCTGTATATTGTTCATATCTTTTTGTATAATACAGAGAATCAATATTCGATATCCTTTAATGATATATTGTAAAAATTCTTATAAAATGAAATAAGTTATTGATAAATATACAAAATGAACTGAAGATACACTGAATAAATATGAAATAAATGAATGAATTGAACTTTTGAGTTAATCCACACTATCTGTTCTCTACTTGAATTATTTTTTTCACTTGTTCTTTGTGCATTTCATGATTAAACATAGAAAAGAGACATTATTTAATTGTTCATATAATAGTACTATTTCTTCGGATGAATATATATATAAATAAAGTATATGAACCCCTCAGTGACACACAGTCGTACAAGCGGAACATACTTTGATATATATATATACGTATCTATATATGTTCACCACACATCATTACCTCGAAGCAATAATGTTCGTGATGAACAAGAAAAAGACCGAAGACGTAAAAAAAAAGAGCGAAAGAGAAGGAAAAAAAGGTATACGATCTTGATAGTGGTGATGATATCTTCACGTAAACATACCATACCAACCGAACGATTGCAGTAGACTCACGTACAAAGAACAACATTGGCAGTACGACGTGCCAGCTGGAAAAGAAAACGCTATGGTTTTTCTTTACATTTTGTCTTAATTCAAAAATATGACGACAGCTGCTGATAGACCATCGTCTCTTCGCTATTTCTCTAATCGACCACCAATTTCTTTTTCTTCATATTGTTTCAATAATACTGGTGGACTTATGCATCGTTCTTTAGGTAAGTGTTATTCGATATCTACTATTTGTTACTTATTCGACAGATTTGCATTCATGCGAAACAATAGACAAGATGAAAAACAGAGTCGTATTCAATCAATACAACTTATTCGATAGTTGATGATGTTCATTGTTCTTATCATATCACGATAATGATTTTGAAAATATTGTCTTAATAAATATTATTTTTCGTTTTCTACTAAATAGATATAAATACTAGTTAAAACTTTGATTTCTTGATACGCACAAATATACAGAATAAAACTATTGTCTTTATTAATTCTGTATGATTATACTGATACGATCAATCGATATGTTGATATAAATATTCTCTAAAAAAAAACACTGTGAATCTTTGTTTTAAAAATAAAAAAAAAGGACTTAGTTTATTCTGTAAATCAAACATAAAAAGAAACTCGCATACAAGAACGTTGGTTTATCTGGCTTGATTTTTTTTTCTCTTGTCTTGAACTACTTATTGGTAGTAGTATCTATATCGATAGTGTTTGTATGTCAGTTAGACTATCTATTTCTTCTTCTTTCTCTCTCGTTCTGCCTACTTTATTCTTTTTACACATGGTATGTTTGCCGCTGCTGTCATTCGATGCATCACAAGAAACATGAAATTCGTCATCAGTTAGCATCATTATCATCGTCATCACCGTATCATTATCAATTGTCAACAAGGTCTTCAACATTTAAATTCAACAAAATAATCAAAGTCAAACGGTTAATTAAAACTTTAATATCAAAGAACGGTACTTCTTCTATTTAAATCAATAAATCGTTTTCTTTTTATTAAAACATTCTTTTTCTTCTTTTTTTAAATACATTTCTTTTCTTCCTTGAGCTGACAGATAAAAATCTTAATGGGCTATTCCTATCTGTAGTATCGATTTTCATTCAACGAATACACCTAAATATTTTGTATGTGGAGCTTTATTATATGTATAAATATTAACAATACACTTTTAATTGATAGTAACAAAAATCCTCTAATTTAGCTTTTTTTAAAATTTATTATTTTGAATTGTTAATAGTAGTGTCGATTCCACATGGCCCTTTTCTCAGGCAATCAAGTTTTGAAATAAGAAATAAGATGAGAACAATCGAAGAACTGTACGTTCGAGGGTAATCATTAATTTAAGTGCGTATATGTATATATGTGTGTATTTGTGTATTTGTGCGATTACATGTTATCGGCATGGTCGTCTAGATTTTGTTTAA